ACAGCTCTGAAATTACTTTAGGTTAACTAAAGGAGTTGGAAAACAGAATTTTTAAAATATAATCACTGATTCTTTGTAAGTTCCAATTTATACATGCAAAATACTTTCTCAGTTAAACAAAGTGTGTGCCAACACCCACTGGCTTTGTTTAAAACACAAATGAGATTTTGTTATCTGTGGACCAAGATGCTATAATGGACCAATCCCTTAAAACACCTCATAATTATAATTATAGAAGATGATCACAGAATCATTAAGGCTGGAAAAAACCTCCAAGATTGTGAAGTCCAGCCTTTAACTGAGTATCACCACGAACCATATCACATCTGCTCATTTTCTGAGCACTTCCAGGAATGGTGACTCCACCACTTCCCTGGGCAGCCTGTTCCGATCCCTAACCACTCTTCCACTGAAGAAATTCCTAATATAAAAAAAAAAAATCATATAAGTCTGCAGCTGGAGAGATTTATCCAAGCAATTTTCTTGTGTGATTAAGCAAGAAGAGACTCTGTTTTCCTTGCACTGACTTTGTAGAAATGAAATTGGTACTTAAAAAATAGACAAAATTTATGTTTTCCTGCTCAAAGTCATTGACTGGTCAAAGTTAAAAGCATGGTCACCACTGAGGAGAGATAAATTCAATGACCAGGATAACAAGAGTTTTGACATTTTTGTTATTTCCTTGGAGGTTTGAACACACCTATCCAGCTAGTAAAAGCTGCTAGTATTGAACATAGAATGACAGGATGGTTTGGGTAGAAAAGGAACCTTTAAAACTCATCTAGTTTAGCCCCTCACACTTCTGTTCCGGTTATCAAACCTTGATCTCAACCATGTTTTATTTCCTACATAAAATAATGTCATAATATCTTGAGGATCTTCAGAAATCAAATATGCGGATGATATTTCTGTGTATATAGAAACAGGAAAAATAATAATATCTTACTAAATAAATCAATTTTTAAACAAAATAACTCATTATTAAAGTTTATTTAAAGCCTTATTAGAGTCAAGGACTCCAAGAGTTGAGTCAGAGACTAACTTTTCTCATTGAGAAAATTCTTGCCCAATTCTACAATGAGTAAGAGGCTGGATTATGTGACTCCAGAATTCTTTCTTTGTGTCAATACCTCCAGAGAACATTCATCCAAACAAGCAAGACGTCAGTCGGGATATCTGATGATCCTTTTCCACCTCAGTGATTTAGTCACTGCTCCTACCTCACACTTGTTCCTATGTGCTAGGAGCACCATGTTGCTGACACAGATGATAGCATCTCCTTTTAAATTATGTTTCCTTGGGTATTTTTTATAAGGAGTGGCACTGGTAGTTCTAGAATATATCCGTTTAGTGAGGGTTTAATGTTTTTTCTTCTTTCTTCCTAGCAGCAGAATTAAAAATAAAAAAAAAAATTAAAAAAATTAAATCAGGAATCATGGTGCTTGTTCATCTAAAAATTTCCCACATTACAGGTTTCTTGCCATGAGGGTGAATGGCCTCTTGCTGTGTGTGTCATTGCAGTGATTGCAGTTCCAAAAAAACAGGCAGTTTTGGGAAGGAGCTATTCTCCATGTTATGGCAATGAAGAATGATGTTGAATCTGGAAGGAAAAAAAGTCCCTGCCAAAAATGATCTTGAAAATGTGGTTTGAGGGGTTTGTGGGTTTTTTTTGGTTTTTTGGGTTTTTTTGGTGAGGAGGGAGAGTTGTAAACTTCAGTGTGTACATTTTATAAGAAAAGTAATATTTGAAATAAAAGACTTGAGATTAAAATGACAAAAATTCCCCTTTAAAACGTCAATAAAGAGGAAACTGTAAATTCCATGTATGTGTATATACTTGAGTATATACACACACACAGACATACTGATGACTATATTTAATTTGTAGTTAGCAGGCTGATGTTCAATGAAATTTCTCTTATAGAAAAAAAGAACAGCTAGGTCTTTAAGCTTCTGTCCTTTTGCTACATGATTCAGAGGGAAGCACAAGAGAATAATTGCTCTCTACTTAGATGCTACTCTTCAAGTAATTTTCTTGTACAGTGGCCCATTGAAGTAAAACCTGAAGGTTCAGCTCCTGCAGTTCTGGAAATCAGCAAAGTGAAAATCCCTTTGGAAGCCTACTAGTCTTCCTGTTGTGGTCAAAAGAAGAAATTGGTATTTCTAGATTTCAGTTCATTTTAGCCTTCAGGAAATACTCAAATCTCCAATAAGAATCAAGTCATGCCACCTTTTTCCCATTCACTTCTAAGAGAAATCAAGCAACTATGATGCAGGCATCTGTATTTAAAGGAATGGAATAGTAATACTTCAGTTGTGAGCTCTGTTGCTGTGTCCTGCTCCAATTCAAGTGATTTAATCCCACTCCTTTAATTTGTGATGATGTCACTGTTTTTGATGAAGTCTGCAATATTTACACAGATAAATCACAGAACTGCAGAATGGGTAAGGTTGGCACAGGGTGCCCAGGGAAGCTGGGGCTGCCCCTTCCCTGGAAGAGTTCAAGGCCAGGCTGGATGGGGCTTGGAGCAGCCTGGGATAGTGGAAGGTGTTCCTGCCCATGGCACAAGTGGTGGTCTGGATGATCTTTAAATGTTTCTTCCAACCCAAATTATTCTATTATTCTATTCTAAAGTGACATATAGGTGTCTTTATGTGCCAGCTAAATCCCATCCACTGCTCCCAAAATTGTTGTTTAGTAGTGAAAGTGCTTCAAGACAAAGTTGCCACCTAGCAATATCACTCTCAGTTTTGAGAGCTATTGCAAAGGTGACAAAAACACCCTTCAGTTGTCAATATAGTGTTTCCCTCCCCAACCACACAAGCTCCATGCCAAACACAAGCTACAAAAATCTAGTTGTGCTATTGCTTCATTCAGCATTAAAGCTGCAATTGATAAATCTAATTTTTATAGTTGGGATACATTTGCTATAATAAGCACAGTAGACTAGGATTATAATTAAGCACGTTCAGTTTTGCAGGATCCAGGAGCTGCTGGTTAATGAAGCTCAATGTGATACTGTCAGTAACCAACATGATAATTGGTTACAGAGAAAAGGCAATTTCAGCAAATGCTCCTCATGCAGGTGGCTGGGAGAAATTGCTTTCACTCAATTATCTCTTCAATTATTTTGGATGAACGAGGCAGGATCCTTCAGCTCATTATAAGCCCAATTCCACAATAAGTAAGTAAATATTTTGACACAGTGTTGAAACTTCTGCAAAAGCATCTATAATATTTATAAGCATTAGAGAGGTCACATATTGTATTATCATCATTTGGTGCATTCAGTGCCAACTAAAAGAAATTAATGGTTTCAGTAGCCAATATCACTGGAGTAATACTGTAAGTAGTCAGTAGTTTTCTGGAATATTGTCAGAGATTTTATGGCTTATAAATACCCATGTCTGGTATCATCTCCAAGAATGGAGCAATAGGAAACATTTGCCCTGGTTATGGGGTATACTATATGTTATCATACGCTGTGTTGGAAAAGTCATATCTATCAATTTAGGAGTAGAATTTGATATTAATTAACATCAAAGACAAGACTATATTAAAAAAAATAAAAGAAAATATGAAATATCAGAAGATTTATTTGATATGGTTGAGGTCCAAACAGTGTATCTTCTCCTCACATCCCTGGTCATCCTGAAGGAAGAAGAGGAGATTTCCAACACTCTGCTGGCTGCCCAGAAAGCCAAATGTAACATTTCACTGGAGCATTTCAGAAAGAACATCCACAGTAAAAAATTATTACCAAGATTTAGGTAATTCCTTCCTGCATTTGTATATGTTTTTTTACTAGTCATTCAATAAAATTACACTCTTTGATGCATTAATTATATGCCTTTGTCAGAAGGTTTTCTGGGAGCTCTCCAGGTGATGCAACTTGCAACACTTCAGGGAATTCAATTTTTTTTTCCTTTTCAGAGATGAGTGTATAACCTGTGTTCCTCTAGCCAGGGGCTGGATCTCTTCTATATCACACAGGTATAAAATTCAAATTTGAGATACTTCTCAGACAGCTAGGACTTCTTTAGAAGACTTTTGAGGAGGCCCAACATGTGGTCACGAGAAACACTTGTAGCAGACATGGAAAAGTTCAAATATTACTGGGAAACATCCCTCCCAGGCTGGCACCAGGATCCATGACCTGCTGATATCCAAAATCCATCTGGCCATCTGGGAAACTTTGGGGAGTTCTGATTGAGCAGGGAGGGTGGAAATGTGACCTCCAGAGGTCCTTTCCAATCCCAACTGTTCTAAAATTCTGTGTCTTCCAGACTCCCAAACTACATGCCTGCTCATTTTCTTTGTATTCATATTTACAATATTAGAACACCTGTTGAAATATAAAACAATTCCTAAAATTGATCTCAAAAGGGGAACCAAAAAGGGACCAATATTGCAATGGATTGAGTCTCATGGAATCTGGAATTCACGAGATATCCCTGAAGGAAAAGAAAGAGGAAAAGGAAAGAGGGAAGGGAAGG